AGGGTCATGAAACCAGGTGGCTGAGGCTGCTGGCAAGTCCAATAGAGGTGTTGTTTATCGAGGAATGTCCTTGGGAGCGCTCAGCTCCACAGCTCCATAGATACAGGAGGAGGTGAGGAGGGAAGAGCATTGTGTTTACATATCTTCAAGGAGATTGGAAATATGCAGCCCTTCCAAGGCAACATGGGGAAAGCCAATTCAGAGACAGAATGTCTTTGGTCGGGTAGATTATAAACTTCAATCTTCCCTAAAGTTTCTCCGATACATCTCAGTTCCCAATTATCCAAATTAGTTTGGTCGTTCCACTGAACCGAAACTAGCAACTTCTCCAAGATCGATTCCATCCCGTTAGTGAGTTTTTAGAGTCCTCAGCTGGGCTGCGAGTCTCAGCAAGACTCACATCCAACTTGCGTCTCTGTCCACACTAACAGTCTGAGTGTTTGCTAGTTCGGCCAAGTTCGTCACAAATTTGTTGATAAGCCTGGAATCCACAAGCTCCAAACAGCAGAAATCCTGTTATCATGAATAAATCCAGGGTGAATTCTGCTGGGTTTGTCCCCGCAGGACAAGAGGGCTCTCTTGTGCCCAGACTTCTTGTCAAAAATTGGATCAATTGCATTGAGAGATCGGTTGACCAGATCCATAACTTGTAGATCTGGAAGATGTGCAGAAAAAGGCTCCAAAAATATAGAAAAAGACAGGACAAAAACAGAGCAAGCAGGGAAGGAAAGGGTAGGGAAGGAGCAGAGGAAAAAAGCGTCCGCTTTCACCGAGAGCAAGAGAAAACTAACTATGCACCACAAATCTGGAACAAACGTTCAGAAAACTGCAAAATAGCTGAAACACTGAGTTCCTTTAAATCTAGACGAAAAACCCACCTAGTTAGAGTTGCTTTTGAAACATAATCATGAAAAAAATCAATAATCTGATGTGTAACGATGGCAAATATGTTTCAATTGTTGACTGTGTGTTCTATGACTTTGTATTTTGTGTTTTTATGATGTAAATCACTTTGAGTTACTTTGTTACTGAAAGGTGCTATACAAATAAAATTTGATTGATTGAAATACATGCGAAATTAGAACCATTCACAACTGTTCTGGTTCTTCAATCTCCGATATTCCAGGTAAAAATAATCTTAATAATCCTCTTCCGTACTCATTACAATTGCTTCAATATATATATAAAAAAAAGAAAGATAAAAGACACGTAAAACGTCAGAGAACACGGGTTGGTTGTATTCTAGAATTCAGATGTGTTTTTTTTTTTTTTTTTTTTTTGTCCCTCAATGTCATACACATTCCGGTGCGGTAGGTGGCGGTAAACACTCAAGGATTATATAATAATCCTCCAATAAAACACAAGGATGAAGGACTTCCTATCAGCGCATGCGCAATATAAAAACAGTTTAAGCTTTAAGGGCACCTGTTCACGCATGCGCCATCCAAAACGGGGCAATTTATTAGTATAGTTTGAATATAGCTGCGGTTGGGAGGTTAAGTCTTAAAGCTCGATAGGTCAGAGGTTATTTGAGGGTTTCAACCCATTCACAGATGTGAAACTTTCACATCTGTGAATAGGATGCGGATGTGCTGAAGTTTGAGTTTCACAGTGATACGTTTCCTCTTTTTCAGGTTCCGCTGAGCTCAGGAGGATCATGGAGAGGCATAGGAACTGGTTCTGCACCGTGGTGGATATGAAGAGCCAGGATAGATATGTGTGCTTCACCCGCAGGAAGGGAGGAGGAGGAGGACTCTGTGTTTAGTGAGTAAGATCATCTGATCAGCTGTGGATAAAGTGAAAAGTATGCAGGCTGCAGCAGAAACTTGGACTGGTGATGATGGTCAGTGTCTCCATGTCCTACAGTGTGACGGACGCAGCAGCTGTTTGGAGCGCAGACTGCTCTGAGGACGTCCTGAAGCCGCAGGTAGATCTCCTCTAGGGTTGCCACCTTTCAGAAATCAAAATAAGAGACGCCCACTAATGCGCCTCGTCCTAGTCTCATAAAAATTGTTAGATTATGAACCACAAATCTGTAACAAACATCCAAAGAAACAGCAAAGCAGCTGAAAAACTGAGTTCCTTTAACAAGGCTGAAAAGCCACCTGTTTAGAGCTGAAGTAAATGGTGCATGAATGAATTCTACTGTGGATCAAAACTTTTCAATGCATCTCTTGTTTATCGTGTTCTGTTTGGATCATGTAAAGCACTTTGAGCTGCCTTGTTGAGAGTACTGACCTGTCCCTGCAGGATGTCGAGCCTCATGGGGATGTGAGAGTTGTGGTCCAGCACACCAGGGCAGTTCTTCATGTGGGCTCCGGCTCCGGGCCAGCCGCGTTCAGTGTGACCCTCACCAGGATGGAGGCTCCTCAGGCCACAGAGGCGCTCAAGGAGCTGCTCTTCACCATGGCTGACGCACTGACTCAGCTTGACAGTCTGTTTGTCCTCTTCTTCCGTCCTGTGGCCTCTTAACCAGCTCTGAGTCTGCTTCAGTGCTCTGCTGCTGCATGGCTTCCTAACTCAATTGGAATCACAAAATTGAAACTCTGTGCTAGTTGTGATATAAGAGGGGGATTCCTGGGAAAGTCTTAGAACCTAACCTGGATCCACATGGGATCATGTTTTTCCAAGCATAAATCTGCATTTACAGAGTTATATGATTTTACTGTTACCACTTATCACTTTTTGGCCCACTGGGACATAAACAGTTACTTAGTTTTATTTTCTTATTTTTATCTAACCTGTTTTTCACCAGGAAAATTCCACTGAGATTGAAAATGTCTTCTGCAAGAGAATCCTGGCCAAGACTGGCAACAGCACACAGATCTTAAGTTGGCTTAATGTGATATTTAAATCAGAGACTTGCCACCAGAGCTGAGTTTTTCTAATGTTTCTTGAAATATCATGTCTTTAGAGGCATGAAGGGAAGAACACATATCCCAGAAAAGACAGCTGGACCTAAAATCTGACCACAATAATGAGAAACGGCTCTGGCACAGACACAATGTGGCTCTGAACTCTGGTGCAGCTGCAGCTCTAAGCAACACAAACATGGTATTCAGTAATACAGGTAAAACGGGAAAAAGTAGCAATCTGAGTCCTTCTGTCAGTGTTTGGAGTTTCAGTTCAGTTTATCACTTTATTTTTGCTGATTGTGCTGAGGGATTTGATCGTGTCCCAGCTCCTTTTCTGGAGATGTTTCTGAGAGTATCAGTTCTCCAGTTTGGATGCAGGTTTTTATGGTTTTGTCTTCCTCCAGGTGGGAGCTCAGCTGTGAGTCCTTTGAAGAGCCTGCAGCGATGCCCAGCAGGTAAGCCTCTGTCCCGTCCCAGGGCCACAATTTAGGAGGTCAGAAATGAGAAACAAATTTTTGGATTTAAAAGAAAACAATCTATAAACACCACAGACTCTATAATTATAAAACAATGAAAAGATGCAGGAAGACCACAGGGCTGAATTCCAACCCAGGATCTTCAGGAACAAATTAATGTTTGGATTCCACTGAGGGCTGTCAGATTAAAAGTATCTTCTGAAAAGAACTTTGTCAGCAGTAAAAGTGAAGTAGTGCAGGATTACAGGGAGTTTAACTGAAGGTTGTTTTTTTTAAATGTATAAATTATTTACATCAGATATTGATATTGGCCCCCATTTTCATACTGGTGCATCTCTACTAATTTCTGTGGAAATACTCTGTATAATGTTTTTCACTTAGAAAATTGATAAGTTTATTTTAGTAACTCCATTTGCAATTTTTTTAATGGGCCTGTACTAAATGTATGTGAATTTTTATTTTTTTGTAACCTATTCACCAATGAGCAGGTTTTATCTCCAGTGTAGAGTTGGAAGAGTAATTCTTGATGATCTGATAATGTAGTGAAGGATGAGAAAACAATAAATCATGAACATTTATCATGTGATTTATTGTGAATTTCAGTCTGAAAGCTCTTTTTCAGATCTGAAACCCCGACAGCAGCAGCAGCAGAACGGCGCTGCGACCAAGAGGCGGCTTCCTGGGGCTTCACTGATCAACCCCGGCACTAAGAAGTAACGTTCAGTCTGACATCCCAGTCTGTTAGCGTCTGTCTGTCTGGATCAGCAGCTTCTGTTTTTTTACAGAAAGGTGCAAGCGACTGGTGTAGCCTTTGATGATGAAGATGAAGTCTGATTTATTTTTATAGAAATTTTGTTCTAACCTTTGAGGGACTCATCTTTCCAACTACGTAAGGTAGCACTGATATTGTACTTTTATTAAATGTTTTTAATTTGGATTATAATAAACTTTGTCATAAGATACGTGAAATAAATACATGGATTATGACATTAGGTGCCTTCTCTTACAAAAGGTTAATTCATGCAACAGACAGTTGCACATGAGCCATCACTCGCATGATAACATGGGAAGTGTGGGTTCAGTGCACATGGTCTGTTCAATGTGCTGCTGGGTAGAAACTGTCCTTCACTTTAGCCCTGCTTTAATTAGAACATGGTGTTCTTCATGTTTTAGTTAAATTCTAAGTTCAGAGTTGTGGTGAATGCTGGAATTGTAATGTAAAATGAAATAAAAATGACTAGCAGAATTCATGGTGTATTTGCAGTCGAGCTAAAAATTGAAGAAACATTCTAGACCTGAAGGATCATTTTGTGCCATTTGTTAGGATTCATGTTAAAGTTTCTGTGCTGGATCACTGATGACTCTAAACTTGTGACAAGAGACAAGTTATTTGTCATTATAATAACTGGAAAAATCTGGAATTTAATTTAGTCTTTTTCCAGGACTGGATCAATGCAGAAAAATAAAATGTGAAAATAGAAAAATGTGTACTTCCAGATTTTATTCCCACTATATTGTAGAGATGTATTCTCAATTCCATTCGTTCTTCTGTATGATCTTCCCTTTTCCCCGGCTTCCTGTTTCTTTCTTCCTTGCATCTTGTGTCCTTCCTCTTCTCACTGTCCTTTGACTCCTCTTTCCATTCCTCCTTTTGTTCTCCCTTCTCCGTGTCTTTCTGCATTCTTTTAATTTCTTTTCTCATGTCCTTTTTGTTCCTCCTTCCCGCAACATATTTCCCATAAATTCATAGTGAAGTTATTTGCATTTTATGTTAAATGGGATGTTAAAGAACTCTAAACATTTGACTCTGGAAGTTCAATATGAAATGTGTGGGACTGCAGTGACTTGATTCTGGCCTGACATTTTTATTGGTGAGTTTCTAATGTAGCCAATAAAGAAAATCGACCATGTTGCTGTCTGTGTGAATTTACACTCACAGAAAACTTTATTAGGAACATCCGAGCAGGCTGAACATGGAAAGTTATGTTTAAATTTGCTGATGTAAAAACAAGACAAAATCAAGAGCCCCGAATGAAAAAGAATCAACATTTCTGAGCGCAAAAGCTTTCTGTAGCAGACTCTGAATATTATCCAGCACTGCTAAGCCCAAGGTAAAGCTTAACATTAAGGGTCGTTGGGTGACTGAACCTTTATCTCAGGGAAACGGCTGCTTCTTTATTACAATAAAATGCTAACATAAAACATCACCCAAATGACAATCTGCTGATTCTCATCACCTCCAAATGCAAGTTTTGAAGTTCCAGATTTCAACCAATCTTTTTGTAAGTTTGCATAAATCTGCTGCTGGTGACATGAATTACTGCCCTGTTAGTCTGAAGCAGGTTGATGCTGATTTGTAGTGCCGGTAAACTATAAACTCATTTCTGATGTCCTAGTCGAGAAGTACATGTAGAAAATGATCTGGTCAAAAACAGATCACTGGTACTTTCAATGTAAGTGTTGATGTTTTGTTCTATGAACTGAAACTAAACCAGTTTGTGATAAGATCATAAAGGTTTAACTGAACACACCCAGTGTGTGACTAATTGAAAGTCTCCACTTTAACATCTTCAGCATTTCTAAATGCTCGACTGAAGGTCTCACCACAGCATTTCATTCAATGCTTGGCCCATTCTAGACTTTGAATAGGCCAGATGGAACACTTTTGAGTTTTCTTTTTCTTCTGTAGATGTTCTGCTGTATTTACAATCACTGACTTGTGTCAGCAGTGGTTGATAAAAGTTAAGGTCAAATATCTCTAGTCTCTTCTGCTCTTCAGAAGGTTTTGGATTTATTCAACTGTAGTTTTGGGTCAATATTTCTAAAGGTGTTTTTATGAACTTTAACCTTTAGCATGCTAACTGAAGCCTGAAGAGTCTGAGGTGGGCCTTTCCTCTTGGGGTTGGCAGGTTTCCTATCTCAACTTTCTTTTTCACATTAATGAACTTCAGATTGTTTGGAAATGATCAGAACTCTTTCCAGATCGATCTCAAGTGAATGTTTTTTTCTGCCTGGTGAATTAATGGACATCTGATTCTTCCTTGCTGATGGTTCCCATGGCAGCAGTGAGGATCAACTTACACACCACTTCCGTAATTTAATTTAATGGTAAAACTGATTACTATAGTTATATGTTTGCATTCAAAAGAATGAAGAATTAAACTGATATATGATTCTTTTCATTAATTTAACAGGAAAAAGTTCAGAGCTGTGACTTCAGTCAGGTGATCAGACAGATGTGCATCTGTCAGACCCACATGTGGCCTTTTCAGATTTCACAATAAAATGAATACAAGCTGACAATGCCCCTCTGCTTATACACCTTCAGACAAAAAAAAAAAATCAAAAGGTTTCCAGTTTAACAATCACATCAGAAAAATACCAGTATTTAAATATTAAAACCAAAATCCAGGACTGGAAAGGTTTGTGAAGGGAGGAATGAAACAACAATTTTGAACAAGAGGAATCACTACTTGGTTTAACAAAACTAATGAAAAACGTTTAAATTCACATGCCAGCAAATAACCAAACTTTTGCCTTCTGGAAATATGCATCTTTTCTGTCTTTTGCACATTTATATAAAATACACCACAGAAAGCTTGAAACTAATAAACATTAAGATGAACTTAGTTCTAGTAGTAAATATTGTGGACTGAGTTGGTTTTAGTGTCACAGTGATGGTGGAGCGGTCGTCGTCCCTCCAGGTTCAGATGCAGTAATTATTAAATCACTATACACACTGTCAGCACTACAGCAGAAAACTTATAGTCCACAATATAATGATGTGTCTAAAGCACAAAGGAAAACATTTGTTTGACACAGAGCAAGATGAGAACAGTGCGCCACCATCAGGACAATAATCAAGCTGTGTGCACGGCCTCTAGGTCACTGACATCAAAAAGCGTCTCCATGTAAGATCCGCTGTTCTTACAATATCCAAAATAAATCATTCTTCCTGCCACAGAAAAATAGACTATTACATTTTCATCATGACTGCATGCTCTGAAGACAAGCTGAGTTTGGTGCAAGGGTTCCACTCTGGTTCCACTCTGGTTCCACTGGCCCATCTAGTCAAAGTAAGCTGCAGAACCAAACAATCATCTATCCAGGTGTAGCTGCATGGCAGCCACTCATACATTCAGGAGAAGCTGTGGGTGGAGTGACTCTCCATCCTGCTCCTGCAGCCACTGCTGTCCCCACCCACAGCCTGCAGAGGTCTAAACGACCCCCGGGGTCAGAGGTCACTCTCTAAGCCTCAGAGGTCCAAAAGAGTGGGATCAGTTCAGTCTCTCCTAAGGTCTTCTTTTTTAACAGAGGGTGTCTGTGTTGAAGGAGAGCTGCACCTGCCACACACACACACACACACACACACACACAAAGGGAAGGTTGGTTTTTCACAGAACAGCAGTCTGCTCTCAGCAGCATGGTCACTGTTTTAGTGAGATCAACAATCGATAATCGATTATCCTGATGATTATTCAGATAAAATGAATTGGCACATTAAGCAGATTTTTCATTTCACTACTTAAGCCTGGTTTATACAGTATTAGGAATACATTAAAAGATACAAGTAAACAAATAATTCAATTCTTCAAAATAACAAAATAAACATTTTATTCCCTAAAATTCAACAACAGCATTCCTTCAGTGAATGATTGATCATCTGTAGCACAATATCTATCTGCAGCTAAAAAATGTCGAGTCGTTTCTGCTGTACATAACATGCAGTGTGGGCCTGAGCTGCTGATTAACAGATTCATAACTGGACAACAAAAAGTGCTAAACAGGAGATTTGATTTGCAGAATTTTAACCAGGTGAAGTTAAAACTGCCATTTGAAAAGTTCTTGGTTGAGAGATTTACAGTGCTGCGTTTTATCATCCTAAATACTAAATGTTTATATCTTTTGTACAGTTCTGGCTTCATTCCTGCTCTTATGGTGTGTTGCTCTTTCAGCAAATGCATCTTTTTTAGTTTGTTTACTCGAGTTAACAGTCAATATGTAAATTAGATGATTATTTCAATAATGGATTAATCACAGTACAGAAGCTCCTGCAGCTGTTCACACTGTGCATACATTCCTTTAAGTAAAAACATATAATTGGATTTTTTTATTATCTAACCTTCTTTACTATTAACACAATTGTGGAGAAAAAAAAAGATCTTTTGTGTCTAAACATCTTGTACATGGAGCACTTCAGTGTGAGTCTGTGGGGGTCAAAGGGCACGCCAAGGCCGAAAACTTATCGGTCAGTTTACTGTTGTTTATTTGGTGGCTTGGCGCTTTTTCTGTAGCTAAAACTGAATGAGCGGATTTGAACCTCCGACCGGTCTCAGAGCGAATCCTGCCTGAGGTTTTTACCTACCTGTGGCTCCTGCAGGTCGCCAGTTTAACAGGTTTTTTTTTTGTGACAGGTCACCCAGTTGTCCGACTGTCATCTGCTGTCACGCTAAGACTGCAGGTTAAACAGTTCAATCTAGTTGAAACTTTGCCAGAAGAGCAGAAATTAAGCAAACATGGTGGCTTCACCTTCTCCTCCTCTGAGCGTCTGACACCACCTGAACCTGGGAATCAACTTCCTCGTTCTGTGGATCTACTGAGAGCTACATGACCAACGTGACGGAACATCGAGTTCAAAGGGCGTCGTCACCCTCTAAGCTGCTTTGACATTTGTTTCTACAATAAGCATTAGAAAATTTGTTTCAATCCAGTTTGTAATGCGCATGGACAGGATGTACAGTCATATTCAATAAATCAGAAAATACGTCCTGATGAGGCTCGTTTGTCAGTAACTTTTGAAAGTAATCTGTCAGCAGGTATAAAACATATTATTAAGCCCACATTCACATTTTTAAAAATAGCAGTTTTTTATTTGTCTGATGTAATATTATAATTTTAAATGTCATTATTTCATTAGCTGGAAGTGGAAAATCAATATAATTAACTGAAATAAACTGGAAAACATCCATCTGTGAGTAATTATTAATATGTTTCACTTACTAATAAAGTTTCTAAAATAATTGGACTATTGATTAATATTCTAATTTATTGAGTGAAGGGTGGTTGGTGTCCTCAGCTCATAATCTTCATCCGTTTTCCTGTGAAAGGCCTTGAGACAAACTCTGATGTTACCTGCTGCTCTACAAACTCAACCCAACTGAACAAAGAAGGGATGCAGATAATCTGTTGTTGGATTTTGGTCCATCTGGAATAACACTCACCCTTTCTTCTTCAAAACTGATGAGTCCTTCATCATCATCACTTTCGAGCTCCTCTGGAGCCTCACTGATCAGAGAATTCAACTCTGTGTTGGCAGGCCGGACTTTCAGGAAACTGAAGATGCGCTGCAATGGGGACTGCCCGCCACCAGGGGGCAGAACCTCCTGCTGCTCCAGGTTGTCACTCTGCTTCTTGGCAAAGTTAACAAACACCTGGACAAGAAGAAGGTATCGGTTAATTCAGCTGTCCCCATTAAACTGTGGGACGCAGTCTGAGAGGACGCACGTTGTCCAGGGTGGTTTGACTGACGGAGTAGTCCTCAATGCCCAGGACCTCCACCACTTGCTCCATCTTACTGAACACCTGGGCCAGGGAGATGCGCTCAGACTTGAGCTGGTACTGGACCTTGGTGTGGTGACGCTCCTGGGAAGATGGCAGCAGATTAAAGGAAGCACCTGTACAGGTTTAGGAGTCAGATGTTCTGGCTGCTGGCTTTTACCTTCAGAATGGCTTCAGGGAAGTTCCTGTTGAAGAACCGCACCACCTCCTTCACATTACCGCTGCTTTTAGTCCTCACAGTTATCATGTAGCCATCCCCAAATCTGGAATATGACCACAGAACAACACATCCTTCCAGTGGTAGCTGGCTTCCACCAAACCACTGATTCATCATTTGAACTTCCTAGCAACAAGCCGTCATCTAGAAATTCAATCTTCATTTTCTCAACTCTCTCATGATGCTCAGATTACCAGTCCTTGTTAAACAACATGATCTCTTGTCAGTATGTTGATTTTGTTAGTTCAGTTTAATTCACTTTATTTATGCGGCCTTTGTTTTTTATACTGTACGTTTTAAATAATCAGTTCTCCGTTTCTTTACGTCTGCTATTTGCGATTTCCAGTAGTTCTTGTTTCTCCAAAGCTTCTGCCCTGAACCTGTCAGAATTTAAAATAGTGATATTAAAAATAGGAAAGATCTTTGTTTGATATCATAAAATAATTGCTAATATCCAACAAAATTTTTTAGACATGAATAAACCTCAGTCAGATTAACAAATAATCAAAATGTTTAAAACATTTACTTGGCTTCTCTGTTTCTCAGATTCTTTCTTTGTTTTTGAGGCAAACTGCAGCGACCCAGCAGGTCAGCTTGAGTCCAGACAAACTAAGTTTATTTGTTCTGTAACAAAAATAAACAACTAGCCTAACAAAGTTTGTGGCTTCATCCAACTAAGATGCCTTTTAGCCTGTATTAACCCCTTGTATATTTCACCCTTTTGTTGCTTTTGCCATTCAATCACAATCAGCAAAATGTGACTTTTTTGACAACTCCCCCATATAAATACATGTAGAAACAATCATTGCTGTCCCAGCAGGGAGTCTGTGTGCAGTTTTCCTCCATTCCTCCTGCTGAGTGGGGATCAGCTGGCCAACAAGACCTCTGTTGAATTAGGTCAGTCACTTTAAAGGGGGTGAATATTTATGCACATAGTTTATGCAATTTTGCTTTAACATCTTTTGTCAAATGATTGATTTTAAAAAGCAATACAAAGATAAAACATCCAAGGGAGTAAATAGTTTTTATAGGCACCGTCTGTACTAAGGCAGCTGGCAGCTTTCTTACTGTCCCTCAACCTAAAGGTAGAACAAGATGGCTTCCATCCTCCATCGTCTCCTCCAGCTGGTTTAAAGTAGCCATTCCAGATGTTTTCCAGAAAAACAGCCAAATAAATGCTGACATCCACAACTAGGGTGGACCAGAGTGGATCTCAGTAAAAACATAGTCAAGGTTATGTTCTTCACCTGTTCTTCAGATGCTGGATGCTGCCCAGACATTTAAACCGGCCGTTTACCATAATTCCCAGTCGAGTGCACAGTGCCTCACACTCCTCCATGCTGGTGAATACATCAAAGAAGACGTTAGAGCCAATCAGAGCCAGAAGGTTAAACACACTGCTGCAGGCAGCGCCCCCTACCTGTGTGATGTGAGCACAACAGAGCGGCCCGTCTTGATTATGTCCAGGATTAGATTCCAGAGGAACCTGCGGGCCTTGGGGTCCATGCCAGTGGTGGGTTCATCCTGGAGAACACAGGAGCAGA